GGGTGTTATGCACAAACAATGAATCATGGAACACTTCATCTAAAACTAATGATGTAATGTATGGGGATTAACATAAGAATAAAAAAAAAGAATGACTAAGTTTAAGTTCACAATACTTTTAAATGAATCTTTTCTATTATACCTGTATTCATAGCAGTCACAAAATAAGCATAACTTCAAATGAGTGATCTAAAAATCATAACACCATAGTTGGCATGTATTTTAAAGGTCTGATAATCAAGTATTAACCAAGTTCCATAAAATCCTTTATTTTGTTTTTTTTTTCAGATTTTATTTATTTATTTGAGAGAGAAAGTGAGAGAGAGAGAGAGCACAAGCAGGGGGAGTAAGTAAGGGAGAGGGAGTAAGAGGGAGAGGGAGAAGCAGGCTCCTCGATGAGCAGGGAGCCCAACACAGGGCTCGATCCCGGGACTCTGGGATCATGACCTGAGCTGATGGCAGACGCTTAACCGACTGAGCCACCCAGGTGCCCCATAAAATCCTTTATTAAATAAAGTCAAAGCCAACCAATTATTTTTAAACTGTAATAATGGGAACCAATGTTTATGTATCACTTCAGAGTTTACAAACCATTTTGAACTTCTGATAATCCTAACAACTACATGGGCTATGTGAACCAGGTGGACATCACCTACCAAAAGTTAAGATGAAAGCTTTATTTACCTTCCAAGGCAAAGTTTCAAAATTAAGGATAGAGACAGTTTTATTCTTTCAAAAGAATAGAAGTTTAATTCCACTGGTTCCTCAAGCTGCAAGGGAGTTAATGATTTTGTTCCACTCTTCAGTTAAATTTAAGTTAAATCTGTAACTTCCAAAAAAGACACACAACTAGCCAAAATAAGGCATAGTGGAAATCTTTGCAAAACCACACTTCATGTCATTTCCTTGTCTCCATCAAATCCTGTAATGGAAAAACTTTATGTTCTAGTTTTCTGAGACAAATTCTAAAAATAAGCTAATATATCGCTCACTGCACAAGACGTATTTCGGGTTGATCCACAAACTCCTATAGATAATATAAAATGTTACCAGAGTAAAAGGATGTCATACTGAATCACCTAGTCTCTGCACAGATCACTCTACAGAGCCTCCTGGGCATCTCCCAGCCCATGGGGGTTTACTCACCTCCAAAGGCACGAGGACGGATGGTTTCTTTTTCAGCTCTTCACATTTCCTTTTCTTACAGATTTGATGGCTGTTCTTTCTGTTCTTGCAGTAAGTACATTCACCACAATTGGTCTTCTGCTGGCAGGGCTCACAGACCCCACAGCGCTTTCGTTTCTTCTTTTCCAAAGTAGGTAGCAAAGTTGTATAGGAAGGAGAAGAGGAGGTACTGGCGAGTGACACTGGCCTAGACACCACTGTGTTAGCCACACTGGTCATGCTGATCTGGGAGCTCCCTCCTTCCAATGTGCTGGTACCAGCCTGGGAAAGTTGGATAATGCCCTGGGAAGCATGGATGAGTCCTCGCTCAGGGGCTATGGGGACCCCCTGAGTGTTAGCTGGCAGAAAGCTTATATGAACCTGCTTCTCATTTTCTATATTGCTAATAGTCACTATTGGAGGTACCGAACTTATCTCTGAGTTTGATGATGGCTGAGGAGTGTGACCTGAGCCCAAAGGCAAAATCTGCACAGCGCCCTGGACCTCAAGCCCATATGAAACAGTGCTCTGGGGCTCAAGCCATTCTGGGAGAGCATTATAGGTAGCAATTGGGTTTAGAGGAGCAGGAAGAAAGATAGGTGGGTCTGAGGCAGTACCACCACCCATTCCGAGGATTTGTTGGTCTAGGATAGCACCGAAGACCTCTCCTTGGACTGGAATAGCACCAGGCATTGCTGGTGGGTCTGGGGTCTCATCCAGAGCCTCTCCATGAATTATGTTAGCACCAGGAACTTCCCATCGATGTGGGACAGCACTAAAAGCCTGTCCTATGATAGGTGTGGTATCAGGAATTTCCTGTTGCTCTGGGATAGTTTTGAGTACCTCTTGATGATCTGGTTTAGCACCAAGGGTTTCTTGTTCTGAGCTTGCCAAGAGAAGTTTTATTAATGAGGTAGGATATATTGACCCACCAATGGACAAACAGTTTCTAAGGTCCAATTCCGGTATAACCTTATTAAAGTTTGAGGTGGGGTAGCCATTACGTTCACTTTTGATGGGATCCAGGTAAGAATCAGATAGCTTAAGAGATTCTACTCGTGAACCCAAATCTTCTAACTGAATGCTGGAGTTTCCTTCGTAAGTAACCTTGAGGGCTGCTCTTTGGAGCAAAGGAGCACACAGAGTGTCCTGAGCAAACATTCTAGGGGAGTCGCTGATATCATTCAATGTCTCTTTAGAGAATAGTCCTTCACCACCACATGTCTCTTCCGATGACCCAGAAAGGATCTCTGCTGCAGGGTCACTCTGAGTGGAAATATTTATTTTGGAATCCTCCACCCTTTGGGACCAAGACTGGGTTGTCTCTTGGCTCTCACCTTTAATTAAAGATGCCTTTTGAACACCAATTAGATTCTCTACATCAGGAGCAATTAGGGGGACTTGTGTTGGAACTGAATCATTTTCTGACTGTTTTACTCCCATGTCAGCAACTACATTATAATCACATCCATGTTGCTTTTCTAAATTTTTAGGAGGTGGAACTTTCTTGGGTTTGGCTATGATCACTGGAGGTTGGGAGAGTCGCCTGCTAAGAGAGGTACTTCGGAGAGCCATTGTAAACCCATTGCAAGTTAAGGATTCTGGGTTCTGAAAAAGAACCTCAGTCCTATCCAAATTCATTCGTGCTGCTCCAGCTCTTGTCAGAAGGCTTCTGACTGGCATAGGTGGTTTGGGTTCTATTTTTTTCTTAACATCTCTTTCTTGAATTAATTGTTTTAATTTTCCAGGGCTAACAGTCTTGACTGATGCCACATTTTTGTTGGCTGCCTTAGATGTCTTCTTCAGTTGGGTGCTTTTCTTTCTGTTCAGATCTTCCCTCCTGACTAATCTGGAAGGCCTTGCATGGCGGGATCGAGACATAGCTACAGAGTAGGAAAAAATGAAAGGGCACAGGGAACAGAGTCATTGGTCCTTTGAAAAGTCTCACTTCTGAGGAGAATCTGGATGCACCATGGTTGAACTCAGTGGCACAAGATTTTGGTCTGAAATAACAAAAAAACATTGGGAGTGAGTCTTTTTCTTATGTATTCTCCCATTTGAAACAGAATATCTACTAATAATTATTAATCAAAATTAGGGCACTGAGAATGTTTACTGCAAAAGAAAAATACAATAAACACAAAAGATACTCAAGTATCCTTTTAACCCTGGGTTCACAAATAAAGCTCCTTTAAGTACTGTGACAACTGATTTAGTTAATGAAGTTCTATGCACAGAGTGAGCATGGGGGTTATTCTATATTAGAAACCACAACTGCTGTAGTTACATGTAGTTTAAAAATCAAATCCTAATCTTTACAAATTTGGGTACTTAAAAAATTCTCTCTTTCCTCAGCACATCACCACACGGGCAGAGGTGTCATGTGTTGGACAGTAAAGCTGGTAAAACCAAAGGAAGAAGAGGCTTATTATAATTCAAGAAACTCTACTTGGAGATCCAATAATATTAATACCACATTCCAATTGACAGTCTACAAATTTTGAGCTTTACACATGCACATAAAAATAGCATAAAATCTGAGAAGTTAGTATTGACAGATTAGGTTACAAATAAGACTCACGGGTCCAACAAATATCTGTTGAGTACCTACTATGTATAAGGAAGGCATTGTGGTGGGCAGTGCCCACACCCAGAAATGATGTCCCTCTTTTCTCTTTCACCCGACTTAATCCAAAGACTGCTGGTTCTAAAATCCCTTCTACCAAGGGTCCCAAAAGTCTCATGATGAATGCCTAGGCAAGGAAATTGGAAATAAAGAGAAAATGAGATAATTAGAATGGTAAAGCATTCTAGGCAAGCAACTATTATTTGGAAGGTAAGCAAGAGAAAAGAAGAAAATGAAAGCGGACTGACTAAGCCATCATTAATTATCTTTGGTCTCCTCAGATTGCTTACCCTAATGCAGAATAAAACCAAACTATGAACAAGAATAAAGCTCACCATACAAGATGTATCAATATACTCTCTAAAGATCACAGAATCAAGAGTGGTACAACTGAGTGGGTGAGGATTCTTTAACAATTGACAGGTTGTTGGATTTGTAAAAAAGCATGGTGTAGGATAGTTACCAAAAACTGATTTGCAACCAATGGTCAACAGTCTGTGACAAAATCAGAAAAAAACAGGCAGTATCAAGTTTTTCATAAAGTTGAATTTATTCATTTTAAACGACTCTTCTTGGGGCACCTGGGTGGCTGTCAGTTAAGCAACTGCTTTTGGCTCAGGTCATGATCCTGATGTCCTGGGATTGAGCCCCGAGTCGGGCTCCCTGCTCAGCGGAGAGCCTGCTTCTCCCTCTCCCTCTCTCTCCCCTCTGCAGTGCTCTCTCTCGCTATCTCTCTCTCTTTCTCAAATAAATAAAATCTTAAAAAAAATTATAATAATAATAAACAACTCTTCTTTACTCTGAAGTTAAGCCTTCCAGTTTTCTCTCATTAAAATGTCCTTTCTTGGGGTGCCTGGGTGGCTTAGTCGATTGAGCAACCCGCTCCTGACTTCCACTGGGGTCAGCTTGGGTCATGATCTCAGGTCAGAGGATGGAGCCCCACGACTGGATCCGAGTTGAGGGGGAGTCTGATTGGGATTCTCTCTCTTCTCCCTCTGTCCCTCCCCCTGCTCACACTCAGCCTCACTTGCTCTCTCTCAAATAAATAAATAGGGATGCCTGGGTGGCTCAGTGGGATAAGCCTCTGACTTCAGCTCAGGTCATGATCCAGGGTCCTGGGATGAAGGCCCGCCCCCTACCTCCCCTGCTGGTCTGCCAGGAATCCCCACTCAGCGGGGAGTTGGCTTCTTCCTCTCCCTCTGCCCCTCCCCGCTGTTCGTGCTCTCTCTCTCTCTCTCAAGTAAATAAAATCTTTTTAAAATAATAAATAAATAAAACCTTTAAAAAATGTCCTTTCTTTAAAAAAGTAATAGAAGTCCTTTCTTTTGTCAAAAGGTAGCGATAGGTTTATTTTATACTGTTATTACTTGGCAAAGTAAAAACTTGAACAGCCCTCTATCATCCTCAAATTGATTTGTTTTTGTTGTACTGATCTGATCCAGGTAATCCTGGGATGCACTGGTTGGTTTAGTAGCTAAAGATGTGTCCATCAGAAAGCTGTGAGTTTGAATCTGTGATCACCAGCTATGTCCTTCCAGAACCTATTTAACTGAGTCAAAGTTTCTACATCTGAAATGAGGTTGTTTTGAGGAATCACTGGGCTCCTACAGGGAAAGCCTGGTGGCTTCCGAGTGGTATCTGAGGTTGAGGAGGGAGTCGGGGAAGGTAAGGTAAGAAGGACTTTGTAAGTAGGCAGACCTGGGTTCAGTTTCCAGCTCAGAAACATTACTAGTCATGTGATTCTGATATATTCCTCAGTCTCTCTATACTTCAGTTTCCTTATGTGTAATCGAATAGGAAGCATAATAGTACTGACCTCATTGGGTTACCATGAGAATAAAATGAGATGACATGTGTGAACACTTAGCACAGGGTTGGCATATAATAGGTGTTTAATAATAAATGGGAGGTAAAAAAATAAAGGCTGCTTATACTTCCAAAATACAAAAAATAATAAGAGAAAATGAGCTAAAGAGTGGTTATCATTATTATCAAAACAGTTTAACCCACAGTCTGCCATATTCTGCCAAACAAGATCTAGTTCTTTGGTTTCTGTTATCACCTAACACATTGTAAGCCAGGCACTGTAGATCCCAGAGCACAACATTTAGAGTCAAAAGCATTGTGTCTTTAAGACAGACTTTTTAAATAGACATTAGTAATAACATTAACCACAAGAAAAATAAGTCTGATAAATCTGTGCTAAATACAAACACTAGACCAGAGAATACTTGACTTGAGTTCTTGGCAACTAAGCTTACCACTTTCCCCCTTTTCTTAAAAAAAGAAAAAAAAAGTTTTTGGCTTGCACTAACTTTTTGGCTGTGAAAAACTGTAGGACATTTTCTCCAAAGACCACTGCTTTTTGTACCAGTATTTTTAGAAAAAAAAAAAAGACATTCCAATTCTAATCTCCAGAAAGTCAGCAGTCTTTATAAGGATGTTTTTTTCAGATAGCAAAAAGCAATCCTTTCCATTCTTTAGAAATTCAACAATATCGGTATAAGCTTGCTTTATCTCTTGTATCAAGATTACATTGCTAAAAAATTATTAGGAGCATATAATCTAGGTATTGCAATCAGCCATGAAAATTAAAATTCACACATGTAGGCAAGTAATCTGGATATGCCAGAAGGTGTCATGGGATCTGCCTTTGAGAGTAGTTTATAAACTGATCTCTGTCTCATCTATTCTTTTATATTTTTAAATTAAAGTGCTTTAGAAATTCAGACTTGTAATTAAGATAATGTTTACCATTCAAATCTTATCTCCTGAAAAAGAGCCTGCCAAGGAAATGGAAAAGGTATGAGCAACATGGATTGGGAAGATGTGGCCTCTTTAAATGGTAACAGCCTTTTTATGAGATCGTGAAAGAGGCCAATGACCCCTGAAAAACCCAACTGCAGGGGAGAAACCACTGGGTACCACCCAGCCAAAGAAATAGACAATCAGAAACAAAATAAGGGCTCCCACAAGATCCTAATTTTATCACCCTTGGCTCCACTGATGAAATGTGACCTTCTTTTGTGATAAACTAAGTTATTCCCAGGGCTGAACCCTGGGAGGAGAGGCAGCAAGCTTTTTTTTTTGAAATTTGTGGGGAAAAAAAAACCAATGTAGTCCATTCTATTAAACAGGAATATCCCCACAGATCTACTGATCTGGAATTATGGAATTATCCCCACAGACCTACTGATATTTATTTTCCTTATTAATCTATAAACATTATTAAATGCTCCATCTCCCCTTATCCCCCATAGGATAATATGATCAGAGCAGAAAATAAGAGAATAGTGTTCCTGTTATTAAACATATACCATAGGCCCTAATTATTTGCAATTAATTGATACTATTCTGTGGGTTCTTATTTTCCTGGAAGAGAAAACAAAATGAAACAAACAAACAGAAAACCCAACCACTGTGGGATGTAAAACATTAGTTAGCAAGTGTTTTCACCAGAAGGCACCAAAAATAAAAATTCTTTTCCCTAAAATGTCCTTGTGATATAGGAGACTAGAGCATATGAGATCCAAACATTATAAGCCAGGAGATAAAAGGCCAGGATATAATTTGAAACATGAAAAGACATGATGCCAGCCTAAAGTAGAGAATATAAAGAAGTGGCAGGAGTAGGCCCCAAGGTGAATATGATAAACATTGCCTGTGTAAGGATCTGCTAATTATTCACAAGTAACTTAAACTTACCTAATCAAACTGGTCAACAAATAGGGTCAGGTATTTTCGTCACTATTATTTGAGCTTACTAAGTATTCAACCTTTCCCTACAGAGGGCCTTTTTTGTAATTAATGAAGTAATCCCTTTGCCTAGAAAATAAAAAGCTTACTTCCTAAACTGTATCAGTTGTCTATAAAGGACGATGTTGACAGCACCTCGTCAGAAAATCCTCTCCCACCTACATCCCTCCTTCTGGATCTCCCAAAGTCCCCTGGGTAGGAAGTGGCTGAACTGATGTAACCATACAGCCCACATGTCAATTTAAAATTATATTGCAACCCTTCCCACTACCAGCAGTGGCCAAAAAAGTGGTGAGTGAATTCATCTGTAGGGCTAGAGGCAAAAGAGGTTCTGATTTCATGGTCACTCCATTCAGCTGCTTAGAATTTAAAGCCTGTTGCCCTTGACTGAGAAATAGAAGATGTAAAACATTTCTTTTAAAAAGGCACCACCTGACTTAGCTTCATCCAGCAACTAAGTTCTACATCTAAAGGAAGAGGAGGTGGGCGGCTGCTTGCA